TAGATTTGCAGGCAGCATGGTATGTTAAGTAGCAGCTGGGGCTCATAATAACTAACTCATGGAACTGCTGGATTCATTAAAAAGACAGCAAATAAAAGACATCTGGCCCCAAGTATGTACCATGAAGGTTGGTTCTGTGTCATTCCATTTTCTTCTTTCCTTCCACCTGAATGCAATTACATTTACTTATATTTGTTTCTACATTATTCTGAAGTGGCAATAAAATGACCTTTGGAAAAGAAGATAAAACTATATTCCCTTCACAGTACAAGTCTGTTCAGAAAAAATCAAATTAGATATTCAGAGCAGTGATGATGAAAAATAAGCATAAACTATCAGCATGCAGCTGAATAATTTTTTCAAGAATGTCAATAGAGAAGGCACTTTGCCTTGCATATGGTCTTAGGTCTTCATAAAAATGTTAGCAGCAATTTGCACCGTATTTTTCATCTATGTATGGCCTGTTTTCTTCTTCTGAGTCACTGCAGTGAACTAGCAAAATAAATCCGACAATGAGGGGAGGCCAGCATGGGGCAGACATGGCTAGCTGGCCACAAAAGGTGTGCCCCCTCTCCTGAAAAGTAGGGTTGTTGGCTGCCTGTCTGTCCCAGGCTCTTTGCTTTTAAGGGGAGTCATGTGACCATTTTTGGCCAATGACTGTGAGCAAGAGCAATGCTTAAGACAAAAGCATACTGGGAAAAGTGGTAAAAACCAGAAGACATGCCAAGAAAAGAGAGCACCAACAGGAGAAACAACATTCCTGTTATTCCTATGGATGACTTCGATCATTTTAATGCAGCTCAAGTCTTTACTCCCAAAGACAAACAACATTAAATTAAAGACAACGTTATTTGATAAAATTAATGTGGCAATTCATGGAGATTTCCAAACCAAACAGCCAGTGTTAATAAAAGAAAATTGGAAAATTACAGATCTTTCCTCTGAAAGAAATAAGTGATATTTTTGAAGATGAAGAATGGATCTATTAGAATGTTTCTGGGAAACATACTCCCAAGTCATCACTGCTAGTATAATACACTCGGCCCTCTTACAGACCGAAGGAACATTAAGTGAGGTGTTTTCCCTGCACTAACATGATTTTTGCGGACATCTGCCAATAGGAGAGAAGAGACAGAGGAAATATTGCCAAGAATTTTGACACTACAAAGACTGAAAGGGAATGCTGAGTGAATTAAGAGCTTTAGGAACTTTTAAAACTCAGAATATAGAGCCATTGTTTAGTACACTGCGAAAATTTATAAGGATAATTTTGAAATTCTTAGAACAACAGAAATCTAGCCTATATTATCACTATTATTTTTCTCTGGTTTTTTCTCTATCCTACCACAGTCGCCCAACGTATTACTGCACATTAGGAAACCCAATTTAAAAGTGGTTTACAATTATAGAAATAACAAATCCTTTTGTTTTATTTTCTTTGCTTTTCTGAATATTTTCAATATCTCTACATTCTAAGAACAAAGCAGGGGTGTACACACATGTCTTTAGAAGTATTTACTAACCTTTTTTAAAAGAAATGTCCATTATTTGGGGGCACCTGGGTGGCTCAGTCAGTTAAGTCTCCGACTTCAGCTCAGGTCATGATCTCCTGGTCGATAAGTTCGAGCCCCACGTTGGGCTCTGTATTGATGGCTAAGAGCCAGAGCCTGCTGTGTCTCCCTCTATCTCTGCCCCCCACCCCCCACCCCCCGCGCCCCCATTCCCCTGCTCATGCTCTCTCTCTCTCTCTCTCTCTCAGGGATAATCATTAAAAACATAAAATGCCCATCTTTTAAAATTTATCCTAGAATTCCTTGTCCAGTAAATTTTTGTTAAAAATTAAATATTTATAGGGGTGCCCAAGTGGCTCAGTCAGTTGAATGCACAACTCCTGATTTCGGCTCAGGCCATCCTGGTTCAATGGGATTGAGTCCAGTGTGGGGCTCCATGCTGAGCTTGGAGACTGCTTAAGATTCTCTTTCTGTCTCTGTCTCTGTCTCTCTCTCTCCCTCCCTCTGCTCCTCTCCCCCACTCACACACTCGTGCACTCTCTCTAAAAAAATAAATAAAAATGAAACATTTTTAAATATTTATTGAGTCAATACATATTTGTTGAATGACTGAAAAAACAAATGACTGCATAATGGCCCACAGGCACTTTTTGAGAGGTAGGTAAAGTAAATTGATTTTTTCCAAGGCAATCCAAATGAGTAACAGAAACATGATTGTTGCTTGTGACTCACAAAACCCTGGTGCCCACGGGTCATGTGGGTGGGGGACTTCATGAACACAATCTGTGTATCCCAGAAAACCCTGCAGAAGGCCATTCAGAATCAGTCTGGAAACAAAAAGGAAGAGAGAAGACATAAGCCTATTGTTTCATTGATTTTTATTTTTTATTGAATTACATTTAGCTATGTTTTGGAGGTTTCTTCTCATCATTTTCTTTGAAAATCCTTCTTCCTCTCTTCCTCCCATCTTCCTTTCCTCTTGACCCTCTTTCTCACTCTCCTCTCCTTCATCTTCTCTGCAGTATAGTTCTCCATATTGTGCCAGTCATTGGACACATTCATTGTGACCAGCCAACCAAAGTTAGGTGTGGCATGCCGAACATTTTCTGTCCTGATACGTGCAGCTATTTTCAGCTCTTGGAAAAAGTTAGTTCAGATCACTTAATCTTAAAACCAATTGAACCCCTTGTAAACATTTGCTGAGGCCAAATGAAATATGAAGAAAAGGAAATAAAATATAGTTGACCAAGATCACAATGAGCATTACCAGCATGGGTTTAGCCTTCCTGGTCAGCTAAGTCATATCCAATGTCACTCTCCTTTTTCGACTCTAAGGAAACCTTTAATGTTTGGAAATGCCTAAATTGACCATGGGTTTATAGAATTGACATGCTTGATAAGAGTGACCTTGTGGCAAGGTGAAGATAAAGGGGTTCCCCTCTTCCCTGGTCCCTATGTTATCCAGCCTGACTTGCAGATTCTGCTTCCTCTGTCATGACTCTAGCTTGTCATTATCATTTGTTATTCTGTTAAATCATGGAGTTCAGCCTGATCAACTAATAGGAGTAAAGAGCTACACGATTATTGACAACATTTTTAGAGTTGTTCTTAGTTCTCCAGTGAGCTGGCAGCATCCTGTGTCCATATACGGCCCAGTAGCCTCCGAGGTACATGTAATTGCAGGACCTGACAGTAAAACTTTAAACTGAAGCTCCAAGTGGAAAAGGGATGTATACATTGTTTATTCAGTATTACAGAGGGTGTTTTGGATCAATCTACCTGCCATGGGAAGGAATTAGCCAGGAAGCCCTTTACCTAGGGACTTCAAGATCAGGTATGATATCCAGGTCCTCACCTCCAGGGAATTTCTTTCCAATCATTCTTGAAATTTGAACTGAGTTTATTTTATCTCAACATTTCTGGCATATTATGGCCACGAAAGCTTCCCATTCTGGATTCTTGGTGTCCTTTACCCTCCAGTCTATTTATATATTCACTTATCTGATAAGCAATCAATAAACATTTATGCTACATATGGGACAGATATTGGACTTACTTCTTTGGGTACAAAATGATAACACACACTCAGGGAGAATGTGGTCTGGATCTATAATGAATGGCTTTGCATTCACTCCACTGACTTGAATCTGCTAAGTGGAAACTGACCAGAGGTAGTCTTTTCGAGTTACCTGTATCTAATGTTGATTTTTCTACACAAGATTCTCCAGAGTAAACTGTTTAATCTAGGTGAGTGCCTATGATGGTTGATTGGTCTCCTTGTAGAAATAGATTCTCTCTCTCTTTCTCTCTCTCTATCCTCCATCAGTGGCTGTTGAGGATAGATCTGGCTTTCAAGATCAAGAGCTTTCTGCTACAGACTCAACATTTCAGTGTCAATGAGAAGAAGGATACCAAGTGATGCTGCAACGGAGTGCAGTGTCATCAAATTATTAAACTAGGGGCTTTATATTTAGCACACCCTAATAATTTGCTCCTAGATGTGTTCAGTGCACATGCTGGCTCTGCTACCCCCACTTATCTGGCTGAATGTTTTACATCTACAACATCAGGCAACCCTTTAAGACGTGATACTGATAAGATGTAGTGCCCTTCACTGGGTCTAGGCAGCTCTTACAGGTTGATTCTATGACTCTGTGGTTAGAACCGGGACTGAGACTCAAAATTTACACAAATGTGTGCATGTGTGTATACACACATATTGCATACACGGATTTAAAGTTTGTTTTCTCTATCAAAAATATTGATTTAAATAATAGATCCCATATGGTGGAATTTTTGGCAACAGAGGGGAGAGATTTTTGTAGCAGTTGACCATTCTTCAGCTCCCTTAGGTGCCCTGTATCCCCAAAGCCTATTATCTACTCTGTTCAATCTAGCACTGGCATAGGGCCTGGTGGTAACATTGCTGTCTTTCTAGATGAGGCTGAATTTAGGAGCTTCAGGTGTGTTTGCATCAGTGAAGAGTCTTTAGAAATGCTTCCAGTTTAACACAATTTTTATGTACATTCTTCCAGTTTTCATTTTAGTTATTACGTTGAGACAAATATGATCCACATTTCCCCTTTCATTTGATGACATGGCAGGCGATCTTTCCAGTAAAAAGGACGTCCCCTGAGAGCTAAAACATGGGGATTTGATTTGCCAAAATTAAACACACTATGATTTAAAATCTCAGATTGCTTCAGTATGCGAAGTTAACAAGTACAAGATGAACCTGTAATCTAGAAAAATATATCCCTCTTCCCTATAATTCTATTTTTATTATTACTGTCTTATAAGAAAACAATAGAAATGTACAGGGCAAAATGGACTCTCTTGTTTTTAAAGTCTTCCTGCTCCTCCCCCCCCCCCCCCAATTTGTTTCGTTGGTAATTTGGAACAGTATGAAGTACCATTTCTCAGGGTGTTCCACAGAACACAAGTCCCACAAAAGTTACCTTGCTAAAAATCTTCTTCATCAATCAAATGTAGAAATTACTCAATAGTATATTCCGTTTGGAGATTCACAATGTATGTTACCATCTGGAGGCTCTGAAAGAATAGAAGGTAGTAAAAGAGCATTCTTAATGTTATCTAAGCCAGCCTTGTCTGCTCTGCAAGTATATCTATTAATCTCCATGAACTGTACTTTGGGAAATATTTACCAACTTTTTCATAGTTACTTAACCCCTAAATATCTCTCCTCTGTAGAAACTGGAGGCAGTGTAGTTAGTTAGATGTATGGACTTTGGACTCAGACAACTTGGGTACAAGCTCCAATTCTGCTATTTACCGATTGTGTGACCTTGAGCAAGTGCCTTAATCTCTTTAAATGTCAGTCTTCCCATCTCTAAGATGGGCATCAAAATAGTACCAACCATATAGAGTTGTTGGGAAGACTTAATAGCTTTGATAATGTACTTAGCATAGTGCTTGGCACATAGAAAGCTCTCAAATTTTTGATAATTAGTATTGTATCATTATTATTAGAGATGGCTCTGGGTCTCCACCTTAGCTACCCGTAAGCATTCAAGTCTCTGCTGTGATTTCCATCTTGATCTTATCATTCAGAAGCGATAGATTTGCACAGATAATGGATCTCCCAACAAGCCAGATTTCACATCTGGAATCTGCTCCAAACATGATCTACACATTGAAGTCTAAAGAAGCCAATCTCACTCACAGGCAAACCGCAGAGATGAGTTTATCTACACCAGTTCAGTTATCTAACCTAACCAGTTCATCTTCCTTGCCATTCTGTACTTCCAGTCCTTTCATTTTCTACCTTTTTTTTTCCTTTTTATGCTTTTCAGCTGCAGAACTACTTTGTCTAATTTTGTGTTCCCCTCCCACCTTCTATCCAGCATTAACGAATTTTGGGTAACTCGGCTATGCTTTGCTAACCCAGCAATTCAACAAATAGTTACTGAGTACCTAAGTGGTCCTCGGACTTATGTATTACTTTGAACATACAAGCCCAGGGTATGATTCCGGTAAAAGCAGAGTCTGAATGTTTACCTAACATGAGGGGGGGAAAGCAAAAAGAAAACAGCTTCTTTGGCAAGCTGACTTGATTAAAGAGCTGAAATTCAAGAAGCCCTCTGGTGAGGAGAGAGAGACTGTGAGCACAACAGGAAGAAGCCATAGACTCAGTGGCAAAGGTTGAGTTTTTCTATCACAGGCACACTTCATTTCCCAAACGCCCTCTCCCTGAAAGCTGCTGACAGAGCTTTGGCAAAGGCTCATCCTCCGGCTCCCTGATAAGCTAAGCCCTATTTTATATTTAACTCACTCCTGAGCAGGAGGGGTGGGGTGCGGATGCCTTGTTTATAAGGGGAGCTGTGACAGTCTTCTCCGCAGTCCTCTCCCTCCAGCTCAGCCTGTCTTCGGGAGCCCTTATCCCACCCCCTGGTTTCCGCCGTCATCCTTCAGTGGCCGGTGGGAACCGTGAGGGGAGAGGAAAGACCGCAAGGAGCCAGAGAGGGGTGTGGGAAACAACGAACTCGGGCTGCCAAGCCAGGGAATTCCTTCCAATTTAAAAAGGAAGTCAGCTGACGTTAGTTCGTTAACTTGAACATCCTTTCACGTGCAATATCTGACTTTGGAAACAAAAATGAACTTTGCGGAGGGAGAGGACTCCAAGAGATACTGCATTAAAACAAAACATGTGGCTATTATCTGTGCGGTGGTGGTGGGGGTCGGATTAATAGTAGGACTTTCCGTGGGCTTGACCAGGTCGCATGACTCCACCGGCGACGCTGGGCAGGACACAGCTCCGACTGCTTCCCACTCTCCTTCCACCGAGAGCCCTCCGCAGGACCAGGGGGTCTGCCCTGCCAGCGAAGATGAAAGTGGAGACTGGAAAAACTTCAGGCTGCCGGACTTCATCAACCCAGTGCACTACGACTTGCAGGTGAAGCCCCTGATGGAGGAGGACACGTACACAGGCAGCGTGACCATCTCCATCAACGTGAGCGCGCCCACCCGGCACCTGTGGCTGCACCTGCGGGAGACCCGGCTCACCCGGCTCCCGCAGCTGAGGATGCCGTCCGGGGAGCAGGTGCAAGTCAGGCGGTGCTTCGAGTACAAGAAGCAGGAGTATGTGGTGGTGGAGGCAGGAGAAGAGCTGGCACCCAGCACTGGCCAGGATGTCTACTTCCTGACCATGGAGTTCGCCGGCTGGCTGAACGGCTCGCTCGTGGGGTTTTATAGAACGACATACGTGGAGAACGGACAGATCAAGTAAATATTAATTTTTGCTGGCTTTACCCTCAGCTGACCTATTCGTTTTCTATTTCTTTCCCTTTCCTTTTCACTCTCCCCTCTTTAACTGTTTCGTTGGTCTGATTGTTATCTAAACTTGGTTTCAATTCTGCCGGGTCACCTGGGAAACAAAACCCATGCCTGGTTATATTTTCAAAGCCTATCATAAAACTTGAAAGTATTGAATGCGCTGCATGGAGCTCAAAGAAAATCAATGCAAGTCTCTTATTTCATCAGGAAAAATCATAATGTACTGCATCCTGTCAGAATGTAGAGACTCCTCAGATTTTTAAAATATACGTGTTCGGTAAATTTCACTGCTATAGTCTTGGGCTGTATGACAATGGTTTTAAACTGAACTTTTAAAAATATATTACACTAAATTCAAGTGAAACTTAGTAAATGTCAGTCATAATTTGAGTATTTTGTTTGAGAAAAGATGTTGAAAGAATATGTAGAATCCAAGGAATTGTCTTTGTGTCTTTGTCTAGGAAGGAAGGCAGGATTCTGTCTTTGTCTAGTAATGGCCAGAACCGTGTTTCGCAGAGAAGGTTTTAATAAACTTGAGTCCACACATTAGTGGCAGCACATGGATAAATCCATGGGCTTATTGTTCATCTTGCAATATTCAATGGTAACGCTAACCCTTGCAACACGAAAGATATGTTAAGTAATTAAGGACATAAAAATATATTAAATAATTGATATACGTAGTTTTGTACTTTTGTTTTTAGTAAAGATAGTTACTTGCCTTGACAATCAGATGCTATTACCAGAACTATGTTAAAGGCATAAACTCTCTCAATGAATTAAAAAAAAAAAAAAAAAAAAAAAAACAACCTTCACTCTGGGTGTGGCCCTTGCATCAGGAAGGGAAACTATACTGAGGTATCACTGAGCTTGAAATTGCTTTGACCTTGCTTATGTGGATTCTTGACAGGTAAATGATTAAGAAACTTTAGTGTCAAGGTTTAGAAATGTGAGTCTGGGGCCCACCTGCTGAATATCTCTTCCCTATGTTGTTTTAAGCATCGTATGAAACAGAGTAAACCTAAAGAATTTTGGTCAAAATTCTTCCTACAGAGAGACCCAGGGACTAAAATGAAGTGTTTAAGTATCCCTATCTTACTGTGAGGTACACTAGTAAATTGAGTAGAAATGATAATTTGGAAAAGTATTTGAAGAGAACACTCTCATATAGATACTATATCTTAGTCTCGCTGGTAATAAAACAAGCTTCTTTTTTGATGTTTTTTTCTCCTTATAAAAATTAAAAATAATGAAAGCATGGAAGATTATAAAGATGGAAAATCAAAAGAAAGGAAAAAGAGAATTTTCACATCCAGAGGTAACTTTGGTAACATGTTAATAAATATTTATTAGGCAATCAAATTTTAATTATATTATGTCTATGTATCTACGTACCTTTTTAACTTCGTATAAGCGTTTCCTCTCATTCTTCTATATTCTCAAGAATCTGATTTTAAACACTCTGCATGAAAGCACAATTATTTTTTAACACCTGTTTCCTAATACTGGACATTTATGGTGCTTTCAGTATTATAATAATCAAATCAGAAAAGGCCATAGTTGTAAGTAAGCCTTTAAGTATATATCTGTTTATTTCCCTATGGTAGGATATGATCAATAAAATAGAATTGCTGGGTCAAAGAGTACAAATATATCAAGAAACTTGTAACATTTATTTTGCTCATTTCATAAATAACACACATTCACTGCAAAACAGTTGGAAGCCAGAGAAAATTGCTATCACTCAAGTAAGTCATTGTTAATATTTAAGCAGATATTCTTCTGGTATTTTTTCTGAACACAGATAAACAGGGCATTATGTTGTACATAGTATCGTGTAACAAGTTTTTAGACTATATCTACACTTTCGCATGATTTAGAGATGATTTATGGATACATGATTGTTGATTATATGAATATAATGTAATTTATTCAACTTTTCCATTAAATTTGGGAATTAGAGTTTCTCCTACCATTTTACCTTTTTAATAAACACCTATTAAAATGTAATAGGGAACTTCCTAGGAGATTGGCCCAGACTACATATGTATGTATGCAGATGTATATGTATACACACGTATACTGATATAAGGCATGCGCATGTGTGTGTGTGTGTCTCCAAACTTAATTTCGAAGATCTGTCCCAAATTTCCTTTCCGCAGATGATGAATAACAGTGCCTATTTATCTGACCTTCATTAGTGATTTCAGAGTTTCCAGTTTGTGGGAGAAAGGCCTAATATTTGGAAGAATACTCACGCACTTTCAAGAGATTCTAAAAATTCACTGAAGTGAAAACAAGTCAAAACTTTTAAGTGATTATTGCTAAGACCTGAAAATTGTTTCTTGAGTTGAGAAAACAATAGAACTTTCATCTGAGTAAAGCCAGCAAAATATTATAAAAATTCTATATCAACAAGAAGGCCAAGAAATATGGAACAACATCCTTTTAATAAATTTCTGTTTGTACTGCACAAGTTTAAACAAGCACTATGTACTAAAATGTATATTATTCATTCAACTCTGGATTATTTTACTGGCCAGTTAACTTTACCATAAAATATATACCCAAGAGCCAATATTCTGAAACTCGGCTGTCATGATTGTTCAGCAAACCTAAGTAACAGAAAGATTAGCGAGAGGGCTGCGCTCAGGTGGGTTCCATGGAGGATCGGGAGCCTGAGGTCATCCGCTTTTATTGGTAGCAGTTGACGCTCACGTTACACAGGATGCTGCCAGTTCTGTACTGCGTACATGGTTTGGGAACAGTTCTGGCACATACTCGGTAACTTCAGTTGGGCTAAATGGAACCCTTTTTGTTTATCTTGCTTTGAAATATTTCAAGCATGTGAGGAAAGTCCATACATTTTTTAATTCAAGCCTCTAAGTAACATTTTGACAGTGCAGGCCTGTGGGGGTTCTCATCCGCGGTGCCCGTATAAGGAAGCAGGAGTGAGTTCATTGGGAGCAGCACCATTCTTTCATATTATAGAGTGAGCCACATAATATTTGATGCACATGCAATTTAAAATACCATCACAGCAGTACGCTTTTTAAGTGTGCAGCCCAATTATATTTTCTGACTCTTCTGTCTTGTGAAATTTAACTCCAGGACTGAGTACTGGCGGTTGCATATTATCATCGGGATATTATTGCTGCGACCACAATGCAAACTCAATGCGAATGTGCTTGGGAGTAACCAAAATGACTTGATTTCCACAAATACAACCAGGACTTGAATTTGAACTCTACAGAGCCCAGCTCTCTGGGCTGCTTTCTCTTGAATTCAAAGGCAAGGGGAGAGTTGGAGAAGAAGGTAGAGCCAGCTTAGAGCTCCCTGGCATTAATATCCATATCATCTTTCTAGGGACAGGGCTGTAGTGAGGCTTAGAAGAAAGTTTGAGAAACTTTAAAAGTCACTTTTCCTGCTCTGCTCTGTTCCTTATGATCTGAAGAAACTGCTTTTATTTTTTTATTTTTTTTACTGTTTTTTTAAAATTTTATTTTATTTATTTATTTATTTATTTTACAAATAGTTTATTGTCAAATTGGTTTCCATATAACACCCAGTGCTCATCCCCACAAGTGCCCTCCTCCATGCCCATCTCCCCCCCCCCCCCCCCCCCCCCCCCCCCCAGTTTTTGTTAGCCTTCTAGAGTCTCTCATGGTTTGCCTCTCTCCCTCTCCCCCACCATTTCCCCCCTTCCTCTCCCCCATGGTCCTCCGTTAAGTTCCTCCTAATCCTCCTATACTTGCAAACATATGATATTTGTCCTTCTCTGCCTGACTTATGAAGAAACTGCTTTTAAAAGGGTCGGAACCTTTGGAATGTTTTTCTGTCCACACCACCACTACCCTCCTCACTATACACTGTATCGTATAGCAAGTGTTTCCAGTTGGTCTCTTCCCAAACAGACCTGCCCTCTACTCGCATCCCCAAAGTGTATACTGTTTTCTTCTCTCCAAGGGTCAGCATTTCCTTCCCAGGGCTTGAGCTACTCTTACACAGCATTTCCCAGCTTGCTGTTCCACAGAGTTCTAGTTGAATAGGATATTAATAGATACTTCCAGAACAAAAGCAGGGGAGGGATTCTGTGGCCAAATTGGTTTGGGCAATAACACTAAGTACAACAACAACAAAAAAGATGTTTTTCTTGTTTTAACGATGGGACTTCTGAGAGACTTTTATAGAATAACGTACATTACGAATCTCTAGAGACTGCTGTGAAGTAGGTGGTTTCCCAAATACACGAGACTGTGAAATCTTCTGTGTGTCCCCGAGAGTAGGGCTGTCCCTCTCTTGGACACACAGTGAGTACTTTGATATTACTGAATGAATATACAGAAGCATTTTTACATAGGCTCTCACACAGCCAGTGTCCTTTGGCACATGCTGGGACATGCTGCATAGCCAGAGCCATTTTCCCGTTATAGAGTCCAACTTCCACCAGTAACATCTCTGTCTTTCCACTCCGTCAGGATGGACATTTTTCCTGGGTTCCTTTTCTCCACATCTCTTCCAAAGGAAGAGGAATTGGTAAAATCTTGTTTTTGTTTTTAACTTAGGACTGCCGTCTTTATATTTCAAGGACTGAGAATCATTGGAATTAACAGTAATTACAATTCGAATTTACAAGAGGGTCAGACGGGGTCTAGTTTGGGTTTTCAGGGCATTAAATGCATTGCTAGGATCGATGCTGAATTCTGATATAGTGGTGGGATTTCAAAAGACAGAAGCAAGCAAGAGCATAAAAGCAGGTAAAAAAGGAAAGGTGCCCAGTCAGAAGAGCAGAGTGAGGAAGAGAAATTAGTTTGAAGGAGAGTTTTATATGAAGAGGTGAGCTGGAGATAACTCAGGAAGTCCCACTGCCGGGGCGGGGTGGGGGGGAAGGAAGGCTAGCTAATGGCAGGTCTGTAGGAAAAACTAACTGGTGACTATTTAGGTGGATG